TAGAGTGACAATGTGCAGGCCTTGTTATAAAAGCCCAGTGGCATTTCCTCTATCTCTGGATCTTGGAGCCCACTCAGAAGACGGGTATTTCAGGGGAGGGTCACAGATAGAAGGGAAACAGGCCTGCCCATCTGCTGAGCACATTCCAGAGGCCAGAGCCTCCTCTCCAGCAGGAATGTGGGGAGGAGGGGCTGGTGTGCCCTCCCACCTTCCTCCCAGTCACCATCTCTCGGGCTGGAGCAGAGGACGGATGCAGGAGAAAGACCACTCAGTCGACAGCGACTAAGCAGCCAGAATCCAGCCCAGACAATCATTCGCTACAGGCAGGTTCTCCCTGAGTGTGGCATTGAGCTGCGTGGCCCACAAGCCGCCCTGTGGCGTTCTTGCCATCTGAAAGGTCCCACGCCCCGACCTGGGCCAGGTGTGCTTTGGGTTGTTTTTCCAGCTGTGACGGTGTTGGGTTCAGGCCCGAGGCCCGACTGGCAGCTGGCACATCTGTGCGCGGAGCTCGGTCTCGGCCACAGAAGCGAAGACAGGTCCCCGGTCCCCAGAGCCCACAGGTGCCCACACAGGCAGCCTCTGGTCCAACCCATGTAAGCAGCAGGCAGGTACTGTTGACTTTCAGTGGTACAGCAGGAGGGAAGGGAGACGCCCAGGACCTGGGGGCAGAGAGGGCAGGTGTTGCACAAACACGTGTGTCAGTGAGACTCTGAATCGCTGGGGTGTCCGGCGATCTTGCTGAGCTCACCACCGCCTGCGCGGGGGCCGGCTGCCAGGCACGCTCTCCTGGGAGAGGTTTACCTGTGGCCGGCGGGCTCTGGTACCATCCTCAGAGAGGCCTCGGTCTGGAGGCTCTGCTGCTGGAGGGGCGTTATGAAAAAACGTAAAGAAAGCTTTTACCCAGTTACCTTGACCTGCCGCCATAAGCTCAGTCGTGTGTGAGCGTGTTTGTAGATAGATCTCGTGTCTCATATTCCTTTCTCACAGAAATAATAATGAAATAAACTTCCAACCAGCCTCCTGTTAAGGCCGCCCGACACGCAACCCACAGCGTAAAGGCCAGAGGGCCGGGCCAGCTCACCCAGGGAGCTGAGCCACGGGGCTTGAGAGCCCACCAGGCTTCCCTAACCTGAGAGGGGTGGGGATGGGGGATGGTGGCCAAGATCCACAGCTGTTTCTGCCATGAGGGACAGCAGAGAGCTAGGCAGGAATTCACCTGATTTCCTCGCAGCTAGTAAATATCAGCTCAATCTGATGGGCAGCCCAGTCTCCCGGCGACGGGCTGCCTACGACAGAGAATACAGACCCACCTCCTCCTGCCGATGACCGTACCAACTCAGTATCTCTCCCGTGTTTCCCGTGTTACCAGTACCTGTGCATCAGCATTTCTATTCTGGACTCTGGGAATGCAAGATAAAGGCATGTGTCATCTGAGCTGCCCCGTGTCTACTTAGGAGACTCAATTCCCCAGCCAGCTCCAAGCAGGTGTTCATGCGTCCTTTGTTCCTTCACTCAACGAGGACGCCTCGAACACCAGGCACCAGGTGCCCGACATTAACCGTACAGACACAGCCCTGGCTGAGCGGAGACCGCGGGACAGTGGGGGGTGCGCACTGATGGCTAGCCTCTCCCTAGTGTCCATGCCGGCCCGGCACCGTCCATGCCCCTTACGTGGAGCTTACTTATCATAAATCCACACACAAGATGAGGAATCTGAGGCACCAGGAAGGTAAGTAAATTACTCAAGATTGGCCATCATTCCAGACCCAGGTGGACAGGCTACACGGTTCTTGCACTTGACTCTGACATGATTCTGCCTGTGTGAAGGCAACCAAGAAAAGCACAGGTGCACGAAGGATTCAGAGAGTGAATTGCCTCCAAGGGAAAGAGCAGGGACAGTGTGTGTGTGTGGTGGGGGTGGGGGAATGGCGTGGTCAGAGCTCTCTGAAGCGTCACATGTGGGCTGAAGAGGCGGGCTGGCCAAGGACGGAGCTTTCTGAGCACCAGCACAGGTCAAACCACAATGGACGGAACAATGAAAGTGGAAGAACAAATCAATAGGTCACCGTCGGAGGATGTTAATGGACCAGATCACTGAGTTCAAAGTAAGTCTTTACTTTGAATGCTAGTAAATAAAGGAGAAGAATCCCATTCTGCTTGCTTTGTTTGTGTGACCACAGGGTAAACACATAGTAGATGGGAATTTTCTGTTTATGGAAGAATTTTGGCTACAAATGAAGAAGGAGGGAGAGAACAGAACCTAACTGTTGGCAAGGATTACAGCATCGGTGGTCAGTGGTTGCTGCATCATGAAGAGAAGAAAGCAGACAGCTGCTCCCTGAGGGGAAGAACACACCGGCCCCACGAGATACGATCTGCTCCATCTTCCCTACCCATGACCCCCAGATGAGCCACAGGTGATGCAGAGGGCAAAGAGACCTGCTGAATGACACCACAGGGACACACTCAGCAAAGTCCAGTCTGTGCGGGACTGCTGGGCATGCATCATGCATCGAGTTTCTTCAACAAATCAATTGCAAAGGAGAAAAAAGAAATGGAAGGGAAACATGCATTGAAAGGGAATTGAATGGACACATCAGTTGCACCGTGTAAGCATTATTTGTGTGTTTCACATAAACCCCAGGGAGCAAATGATGACATCAGGAGACAACTGGAAAAATGGACACTGACTGTATATCTGGTAACATCTAATACTTATTATTTGGAAAAAGGACACCAGTCTGCAAGGTGATGCAATTTCTCTAGCAACTGTGAAGGATTCAGAGCTAAGGGAGGGGATGGGTATTAACCAATGGGTATATACCCTCCTGGCAGGTTGAGTCTGGGTGAATGAATGAATTAGCTCATTCATGAGTTGAGAATATTGGGTTTTTGCCTTAAATATTCACAGTATTGTTAAATATCTAATGAAATCTCATGTATGAAAAGTACTTTGAGGGGCGCCTGGGGGGCTCAGTCAGGTAAGCGTCCAACTCTTGATTCTGGCTCAGGTCATGATCTCAGGGTCGTGGGACCCAGCCCCTCATCAAGCTCCACACTGACATCTCAGGGCCTGCTTGGAATTCTCTCTCTCCCTCTCTGCTCCTCCCCTCTCTATCTCTCTCAAAACAAATCAATGAATTTAAAAAAAAGTACTTGAAAAACTTTGAAGTTTTATGTAAGATTAGGGCTAGACGTCTTTGAAACCCAGCCAGTCTGTGCATGTAGGGTCTCAATAAATACATTCATTATTTGCTGACAGGTTGGTTGGTTTTTCCAGCATACTTACGGTGATCATAGTTTTCTAACCCCAGAATGGAGCATGTGGTCTGATAGTAGGGTGTTTTCTCATTTGTGAGTGTATTTAGATGAAATCTCCTATTCGGTGTAAAACTTAAGTCATAATTAGTCGTATGATTAATGAATCCCTTTTAGGGAAAGTACAAAGGTGCACGAAACGGAAGGGAATCCAGAAAACCGTATGTATCATCCCTTTAATTATGCTCCACCTGAGTCAGAGCCTCATCAGAGAACTGTGTGCGGCGTGTTCGCCAGGCTTGCAGAAGTGGGGGAGCTGGAAGACGGCCCCAGGAGGCAATGAGTGTACAGGAGTAGATGGGGGCCAGGAGGCACGGGGAACAGTCCCAGGAGCCTCGAGCCTTTCACCGCGGAAGCTCAGGGGGTTCAGAGTCACTGCTGCCACTGACTGAATCATCTGAAGCCGATACCGACGTCCGTGAGCACACACAGGATGAGCCGTAAAAAAGAACCTGCGTGCCCCCACCCGTCTTCTGCAACTGCTTCCGTGGGGGCAGCCGCGACCCGCACCCAGCTGAACCCCGGTCTTCGTCCTACCAGACCCGCCCCAGCCTTTGCCATCGGCTCCTCGAGACGCTTCCTTCCCTTGGCTTCCAGGGCACTGCAGCTGCGAGGAGTCCTTCCTCCCGAGCCTGCCCCGCTCAGCGCCAAAAGCGCAGGGTCACCCAGACTCCAGTGTCTGGCTCGTATTCTTATCTGTTCTGACAGCAACGCCCACTGGCTCACTCTTCAAAAGCCTGCCCAGAAAGGGACTGTTTCTCTCCACCCTCCTCCTGATGGCAAGCCCCGGGGTGTGGCAATGGCCTCCCCTCTACTCTCTCTGCCCTCTCTCCCCCTGCCCTGCGCTCAGGTTTCAACTCAGCAGCAGATGGTCTGAAGAAACCAGCATCTGAGCACGTCACTGTTCTGCTCCCTCCTCTCAGAGCACAAGCCAGTGTCACGGTGGTCCATGTCCCCTGCCCCACCCCCCTGTCCAGGCAGCTCCCTCCTCAAGGATTTGCACTCGCTGTCGCTGGTGCCAGGAATGCCCTCCCCTGCGATATCGACGGGGCCCATTCCCTCAACTACTCCAGTTCCTAACTCTGATGTCGCTTCTCAGCGAAGCCCCTCGGGACCCCTGTTTAAAATTGGACACCCCCTCCTCGCCCCAGCACCCTCTTGACCTCCACAGCACTATCGCCAGCCAGCAGGTTACATTTGTTTGATGCCTCCTCTGTGGCAGGGGCTTTTCTCTGTTTTTCATGTTGCTATTTCCTCAGCCTCTAGAACAATACTTGACACAGAGTAGGTGCTCAGTAAATACGTGTTTGATAAATTCAAGAGTCGGGTAAGAATCGCTGCTGTGGACGACCTCAGAGGCTGTGAATCCTGCTGCTAAGAGGATTCCCGTATTCGCCGGACTGGCTTCTCAGATCCCTCCCCCTACCAGATGCTGTTCTAGGACTGGGGGGTTGCCAGCCGCACATGGGACGACACAAAGGCACCCCTGCTCAGGGAGATTATAATCTAGTGAGAGGAGGGTGACACACAGGACCAATGAGTAAATAAGTAAATCAGCTCTTATGTAAGAGAGTGATGCGTGCTCAGGAGAAAATTTAAGAGGGAAGAAGATACGAAATACAGAGTGTACCCGGCCACCCAAACCCGGCCACCCAAACCAAGTTCCATAGACCGTGGGCTTAAACAATAAACAGAAGTTTATTTCCGTTCATCTCCGAGAAATCAGAGATCACAGTGGTGGCAAGGTTGGGTCTTCTAAGGCCTCTCTCCTGGGTCTATAGACGGCCATCGTCTCCCGGTGTCCTCACAGGGTCCCCCCTCTGCGTGTCTGTGTCCTAATCTAAGGACATAGGGAGGATTAGGACTCACCCATGTGACCTCACTTTAGCCTCATGGGCTCTTCGAAGGCCCTGTCTCCAAATACAGTCACACGCTGAATGTGGGTTTGGAGCAACACAGCTCAGCCTGCAAACAGGATTAGGTGGGTGGAGGAAATTTAGACAGAGGCGCTCAGGAAGGCCTCACTAAGAAGACGGTTTTGTAACAGATCTGAAAGAGTAAGAGCGCCGGCCACAGGGATATGTAGAGGAGCAGCAAGTGCAAAGGTCCGAGCGCATCCGAGGAAGAGCAGGGAGCGCCAGGTTAGGGTGTTGGCTGAACAAAGCTGAGGAGGCAGATGGGCCGAGAGGGAAGGGTCACAGCAGACATGGGCTTCTGGGAACATGGCTGCCGACGGGGGCCAGTGGGGAGGGCAATGAGTTCCAGGCTCTTGATCCTGGGCCAGGAGAGGCAGGAGTGGTGGGGCGGAGGGGCAGGGTGGTGGGCAGAGGGGCAGGGGGTGCTGGGGCGGAGGGGCAGGGGTGGAGGGGCAGGGATGGTGGGGTGCAGGGGCGGGGTGGTGGGGTGCAGGGGCGGGGTGCTGGGGCGGAGGGGCAGGGGTGCAGGGGCGGGGTGGTGGGGCGGAGGGGCAGGGTGGTGGGGTGGAGGGAGGCAGTCATTCTCCGGGTGCTGGAATGCTCTTCCCGGCTGATGGGAGCTGCCTGGCCGTGGAGGCAAAGCCTGGTGGGTGCACGCAGGAGCCGCCCGACTCTGCAGGTCCCCAGGGGTCCGGTCCCCAGGGGTCCGCGGGGCCGCTCACCTCCGCTCTCCCTCCCCCGCGTCCTCTCCAGCTCACCTCCTGCTGGCAAGTCCGCAGCGCAGCCTGCGGCGCAGAGAACCAAACTTGAAAGGAGGGGAGGCGGACGGGGGTCCGGCCCTGTGGTTTCCAGGTAGAGCCCACGGGACTGGGACGTCCTCCACTGGCACGGAATCCTAGGGAGCGTCAGCCAAGGTCGCCCCTAGCGGGTCCTAGTATCTCCTCAGGCCCACGGGACTTGGAACATGCCTTCGGGATCCCCTAAGCCACAGTAAACGTTCTGGGCCTTTCCCTCCGCCTCAGCTACTATTCACACCCCCTTTTTGCTTACTGGGGGTTCAGCCAGGGCCCGGCCTTTGGAAGGATGGTGCCTCCTATCCCCTTCTCCACCCTGCCCCTCACGTCCTTTCCCTCCCTCCCTCCGGAGAGCGCATCCTTCCCCCTGCACGGAGGGCCTCCCTTCTCCTGTCCAGGGGGGGGACGCATCCTATCCACGACCCCCCGCCCCCCTTCCTTGCCGTGTCTCCTGTGACGCGCGCAGGCCCAGCCCAGCTCAGAAAGCCAGGCAGGGGACAGCAGCCCCCCCTGCCCGCGTCTGTTTCTCCCAGCCAGGCCCCTCCGGCTGGCAGCCTGCGCCCACTGCCTGCGTTTCGTCCTCAGGTCTCGGCAAGCTGACGCTCCGCACAACCCTCTCATACAACTCACCACTCAAAGGTCACCCGACCAAGGGGCTCTTCTGAGTCCTCATTCTTACAGACCCTGCTGAGGTTTGCAAACCACTGACCGGTGCCGGCATCCCGTGGCTTCTCTAATCTCTCAGGCCATTTCTTTCTGGTCCTTTCCCCCTGCTCCTCCCAGGCTCAGATGCCTGTCTCCGCCCCCCCGCGGGCGGCCTCCTCAGAGCCTCCACTGTTCATCCCTGGCCCTTTCCGCCCGGCGACCCTCCTCATCTTGAACTCAGCTCAGCCCCAGCCGCGCCCCGCGGCCCGCCCCCAGCTCTCTGTCTCTGTGGACGGTGCCACGCTGTCCCCTTCTCCAAACGCTGGTGTCCTTTCTGACTCCCCGCTGTCCTTCTCGCCTCTCATGCGATCAGGCACCAGACACAGCCTTTCATTTATTTCAAAGCCCCTGTTTCTCCATCTGCTTTGATAGCTTGCTGGGCTCCAGGCTCCCCGGACCTGCCTGCCTCCCCGCAGCGAAGCCAAGTCGAATTTCCTGCAGTGGCCTACTCTGGGGGCCGATGGAGGAGACCTTTCATTCCTTCCCCACCCCCTCCCCTTCCACTCACGGGCCCTCTAGGAGCCGAATACCCCCAAACTTTCCCTCCTCCGGTGGGCCATCTTGTCTTCCCAGGTTGCACTCGCTATTTAGGTATCAGAGCCGAGCATTTTCTTTTTCTTTTCTTTTTTTTTTTTTATGTTTTATTTATTTCTAGGAGAGAGAGAGAGAGAGACAGCGTGAGCAGGGGAGGGTCAGAGAGAGAGGGAGTCACAGACTGAAACAGGCTCCAGGCTCCGAGCTGGCAGTCAGCACAGAGCCCGACGCGGGGCCTGAACCCACGAACCGCGAGATCATGACCCAAGCGAAAGTCGGACGCTTAACCGACTAAGCCACCCAGGCGCCCCAAGCCGAGCTTTTTCTTAAATGTCTCCAGCTCTGTTACCTTCTCCATCTGCTAAATGGGCCAGTGCCAGGGTGATCCTTGACCCATCAAGGCAAAGGGCATGTAAGGCCAGTGCTTTGTCTACCCCCCCCAACCCCTGCCCCATGTTGACCATTCACTCCTAACCAGAGGGCAGCAACCTGAAAGCCCAGCAGGCTCTTGGCTCATTCAGCCAAATATCAGAGACAGTGGAGCAGCCACTTTAGTTCACGGAGTCTAAGATGCACATCATACTGTTGTTGAAATCAGGGCACAGCCAAGGATTTAATGACACAGTTTAGCAGGCAGCCTTTTTTCTTTCTCAGTCGTACATAAAATAGTGGTTCATCTTCCAGTTGACTGTGTCTCAGATGCTCTAAGCTGTAATGCCCAAGGCTGGTGCTCACTGTAGGGAAGTTTCTACAATATGTACAGCATGTACAAGGCAGAGCTTTCAATTATGTGATGCTAAAGAAGGCACAAAAGACGGAGAGAGTGAAAAAGTCTAGGGCCCTTCCCGAGATCTTAGCCCTAATTGGGGAGATAGAGCTAAGAGAAAAGAAATATAAAAACACTTCCCAAGCAACACGTGAGCAAGTGAGAACTGAAGTGTACGTCTGTGAATCTGAGTGCATATGAATGGTATTTCCTGGGGCCTCGGCATTCCAGGAGGTCTTCCTGGAAGAAGTGAGCTTCAAGTTTAAAAGGAAAGGAGGGGCTCCTGGGTGGCTCAGTTGGTTATGAGTCCAACTCTGGATTTTGGCTCAGGTCATCATGTCACGGTTCATGGGTTCAAGCCCTGAGTCGGGCTTTGCTCTGACAGTGCAGAGCCTACTGGGGATTCTCTCTCTCCCTCTCTCTCTGCCCCTCCCCCACTCATATTTTCTCTCTCTCCAAATAAATAATTTTTTTAAAAAATGAAAGGAAAAGTGGGCCAAAGGCTAGTCTGTGTCAATTCACGGGGACACTGTCCTCATGAGGACAAAAATCTCCATTTTCTGGAGGAAGAAAGTGTTTGGAGGGCTTACGGGCATCATTCCTGGGACACCCACCACTTTATAACAGAATCTGTGAGAACCAGGACAGGAGGCAGAGGAGTGACGTGAATCTGTGCCACGGGTTCATGTTTATTTTATTCCGCAAATCATCACCTGGGAGGTTGTCCACAGAGGACTGAATGTCCGTCGTTCCTGGTCATTCCTGAATTTCTGCAAGGGCACGTCAGTGTCCTGCTTGGCACTGGGGGCTCTGCTCCTTCTGGAACATGCCCCAGAGACGAGTAGCTTGACCCACAGTCTTTTTTTTTTTTAAATGTTTTATTTATTTCTAGGAGAGAGAGAGAGAGACACAGCATGAGCAGGGGAGGGTGACCCACAGTCTTCTCCAATGTGGGCAGGTTGGGGCCAGAGGAGCTCGGCTGTTTTGGGAGCCGGATGGAAACGCGCTGATGGAGAGATCTCTGGGGCTGTCTGTACTCTCCCATCCCAGGAGAAGGAAATGAAACCTCTAAACCTACCCAAAGAGCCATATTAGATAATCCATCTCCCGATCACCCAAGAACCCAGTGTCAAGGGGGGCCCTGCCTTCCTGGACCTAGCTGGGAGGTCATACACCGAAGGGCAGCACACAACAGTGCGGGATGCAGGGCCATGTGCAGGGGTCCATATGCTTTGAGTACAAACTGGCTGGTAACAGTGTCTGCCCTGAAGTCAAGGACTATACCCAACAGGGGGGGAGGAGGGACTGCACGATGGAGGGGGAAAGGCATCCGGAGGGAGAGGGAAAAGACCCCTCTCTCCACACCTCACAGCTGCCCGGCTGGTTACTGCCCAAGCGTTCAAGCCCTGACCTCCTCCGACTCGGCACCCATCAGATTAGCCATCGGACAGATACTGCCGCCGCCAGGTGAGGAAAGCGGGCTCGGAGAAGCCAAGGTCACATACGTGGCACGCCTCGAGATCACGGTCTCGGTTCCGAGACAACACGCCTTTGATCTCCTCCAATTCCGCCTGGTGTGGAAGCGACCCACAATATCCCCGCGTATAGAAAACTAATAAAAGGCCGCATTTATTGAGCGCTTCGCACTCGCCAGCACTCCCTAAGCCCCTTCTGGGAGTTGACTCTTAATCCGCACCCCGACCTCAGACCCGCTTTGCCCGCAGGGCCGCGAGGCACCTGGCTTTGAGGTGACCGGCCCAGGTCTCGCGCAGGCCGGGCCCCCGAGGGCCAGGCCCCGACTGCCCACAGGAGGCCGCGGCGCCCTGCCTTCCGGCTCCCCGGGGCACCCCGCGTCCTCCCGCGCGCCCAGGAATGTGTGGAATCCTCCTCTGGGCCGCCGCCCAAGGCAGGGAGGACCGGCCCCGGGCCCGGCTCAGCCCCGCGAGCGAGCCCCGGGGGCGCAGCTGCCTCGCCGCTGCGGGGAGCGCGGCGCCCCGTCCGGGCGGGGGGCGGGGGGGGGGGAAGCCGGAGCCGGCGGGCGGCCGTGCGCCCTCACCTGCCCCGGGGCGGCGCGGCGAGGGCGGAGGGGGGAAGGGGGCGGGCGGCCGGGCCGGGGAGGAGGCCGGGGAGGAGCCTGCGCGAGGCCGGGAGCCGGCGCAAAGTGAAACTCCCGGCACTTGCGGGAGCGCGGGGAGCCGAGGCGGGCTGCGCGCCCTCGGGCCGGACGCGCCCCGGCGCCCATGGCGCTGAGCAAAGGGCTGCGGCTGCTCGGGCGGCTGGACCCCGCGGGGGAGAGCAGCGTCCTGCTGGAGGCGCGAGGCCGCGGGGACTGCCTGCTCTTCGAGGCCGGCACCGTGGCCACGCTCGGTGAGTGCGACCCCGGCGGCGGACCCCGGGCTGGAGGCGGCGCCCGCGCCGGCCGAGCTGAGACTTCGAGAAACGGGCGCCTCCCTTCCCCGAGGTGACCGCGGTGGCCGGGCGGCGTGGAGACAGCCGGGGTGGGGGGTGGGGGTGGGGTCGCGCCCCTGTTGGAATGAGGAGACCCCGGCGACGCCCGAGTGCCCCTCTGGCAGGGCCCGGTACGCGGCGGCCCGCAGCACCTCCCGGGGGTCTGCCCTCACCGCGCCCGCCTCACGGTTGCGTTCCTGGAGCGCCGGCTGTGGCCTTCTCTGTCCCGCGCTCCGCTGGGACACGTTACAGATTCAGAGAGATCCCGGGGGATTGACTTAGAAGCCGCCCCGCCCCTGCGCCTGGCGCTCGCTTTCTTTTGCACCTGTTGATGGAATCAGTGATTGCCCGCTGGTGTGTGTTGGCCCGCTTCACAACCCGAGGGGACAACCCGAGGGGACGGGGGTGGGGAGTCGGGGTGGGGACACAGTTACCGGCACACAGACCCCGGAGAAAATCTCTGATGGCACCTCTGCCTCACTTCACTACTTGGCCAGGAAGCATCAGTTCTGCAAAGTTACAGAAGGAACTTGGAAGCAAATGTACTACTTGGTGACTCGGCCTCCAGGCTGGATGTATTTGAAGCTAGGTGCCCGGCCAGTGTGTTTCATGTCTGTGCTTCAGGAAGTCTTGAGACTGGCGCTGTGCCAAGGACTTTAGTGATGATCTCATGCAACTTTCACAGTTCCACAAAAGAGCTGCTAGTATCCCCAAATTGTGGATGGGTAAACTGAGGCCCGAAGAGGCTATGAAACTTGCGTGCCCGGTGTGACACACCTCTACCTGAGTCCTATGGGGCTGTGTTTATAAATGTAATACAGTGCATGCTTTCCGGGTATCACCAGCCACCCTGTACCTTGTTGTGCAGCCAAAGTAAGCAAAACCAGGTGGGATTGTTAGAACTTAATGAACAATGGACTGTGGGCTTCCTGTTGGTGACCAGCTGTACCATCCTGCCTTGTTGGGAAGCTCAGAGGAAGGTCACAGTACACTCACTGCTACAACACTTTATTAATGTCTCTAGTCTTTTTCCCCCTGCCTTGTCTGCATGCATTCCTCAGTTAGGATATAGGGCTTGGAAGAACCTCTTCTCTTTCCGTTTCGCTAATCATATCATTAGCATATAGTCATCGGGCTTGTTTTCAGTCACGTGGTTACTGAGACAATGTCTCCAGTATTGTGGGTGTCATAGTGTGCATCGAATCGTCAATGAAATTATTCTCAGATTATTCCGGTTTCTGCTCTGTCCCGAAAACTCCAAGCTTGGTCATTTGCTAAGGTCTTGAAGGAAAAACCGCAGAAATTTCCATCCCATTTTAGATGTCAACTTCGTACCACATTTATCAGAGCCGAGAGATTAATTTCAAGGTACAAAAATACTACTTCATCAAAAAGATTAAAACATCCTGTTGGATTACAGCGTTAAGCAGGGTTCATGCCCATTTAAGAGTTCCTTTGAAGCCACATGGAGAAAAAGGCTTTATTATTTTTTTTCCAAAAGTGAAGACTTTAAAAATGATTAATGAAAGTAATATAATGCATATTTTCCACTTGGAAATGAAGTTTGGGCTGTGATGCATGTATATTACTTTGGGGATTACAGTCCTCTGGATTCTAGAACAGAGGATGTATGAAAGGAGCTGGCCTTTCCTGAACTCATGTGTGGTCCACATTTGTGACTTAATCTAGCATTCATTTTTCAGTAGAACTTGGGTTGAGTACTTAATTTTTAAAGTCTGTTTTTCTTAAGTAAAACTATTTTTATTTTTTAAATTTTTTAAATGTTTGTTTATTTTTAAGAGAGAGAGAGAGAGAGCGAGAGAGAGAGAGAGAGAGAGACAGAGTCCGAACGGGGAAGGGCCGGAAAGAGAGGGAGACACAGAATTTGAAGCAGGCTCCAGGCTCTGAGCTTTCGGCACGATAAGGGGCTTAAACTCACAGACCATGAGATCATGACCTGAGCTCAAGTTGGACACTAAGTGAAACTATTTTTAAAAAGCAGCTGTAGCGCTTGGTGGTATTGCTGGTCCAGAAGAGGATTCTAACAGACTTCTGTTACTAGAAAGTTGTTTCAAACTTTTCAAGTATCCTAAACGTGCCACAATTTGATAGAATGGCTCTGAGCTTGAAATTTCCCATCTGGGTTTCAGAGGGCTAGTTTTTTTTTCTTTCCTTTCCTTGACAAGGAAAAGAGTACTTTCATTTTTTCCCCGGAAGCTCTCAATCTCTGCTTCTGCGTGGGACCGTGCATCTGTGGAAGCCGGCATCGCTGGCGTTGGAACCCTGACGGGTTCAAGGTTGAGGGCAGCTTCCTTTGAATACAGCTGTGATTTCCTGTGATGGGTCACCCCCGGGAGGAATCGGAGGCCTAAGTGAATGGTTTATTAGCATGTGGGTGGTGGTTTCTCCCCAGCTAGTGAGAGTTCCTAAATTCTGCCCAGCCCTGTGGCAGATGCAAGCTACTTTCACTGGGAGCAGCGGGAGAGCGAGTGGGCCCCATAGCCCTCCAAGGCACGTTTTACCCCATGAGGATCCACACTTGAAAAGGCGTTTCACCACTGGCTAGGGGCTCACACTGCTTAGCCTGTCCATGCAGTGCTCAGGGGCTTGAACTGGGCTGAGAGTTTAGGAAAAGCCGATGATCCTTGGTTGGTCCGTTGCTGGGCACAGCCCTTCTGTTCCACTGGGACTTGCAGACGGTCCCCACGTCCCGCCACCTAGCCTGCTAGCAGGAAGCGTGCTGAGGAAAGACTTCTAAACTCCTGCTTCTAAAAGAATTAGGTTGAGAACCTATCTTACATGTAGGTCGGTGGGAACAGGAATTCGGAAGCAGAAAAGCCAAACCTATTGGCACCAATTTTAAAAGTCGTTATTAGGTTTTCTTGGTGAGCTGCCTGAGTAGTAGGAGGGTTCTCAAGTATGGGTGAAAAGCCGCAGCATGTAACAATTCCCTGTGGTCCCCAATCCAGAGGTGGCACGCAGATGTTCTCTTATTTGCACATTGGGACAAAAAGTAGTCGCTGTCTTTCCCTTGGTCTCTGTTAGGTATAGTGTGGCCCACACGAAGGGAAGTGTGGCTATTGTTTATAGATTACTTTTTCAGAATGAGCACCGATACTCCAAAGGTCAGTTTTTTCCACCCAGCCCCTAGGAAGGGTGGCCTGCGGGTGTCGGTGTGTTTACACATGTGTTTGTGAGCCAGCGGGACTGGGTCTCCCTCCTCCAGCCTCGTCTGCTGTTGAACAGGCAACAGCGGCATCGGGGTGGGGAGGAGGCCTGGGAGACTTAATTAAGTTAATTAGTGAGTGTCCCTAAATTACTTTGAGCTTCTGGGGGAAAAGTTTCTGTGTAAACACCAGGCCTGGGTTTTCCCAGCTGCTGTGTTTATACTGAGGCCACAATATCCTGCTTTGTTTGAATTGGTGAAATGGCCATGGAGCCCAGCAATGCTTGTTCTGAACTGCCTTGCTCACTTTCCCTGGCTTGGTGGCTTGGGATTGCAGGTCAGTGCCTTCACCTCGGACCTGCTCAAGAGCACCTGAGACAATCAGTGAGCGACCAAGTTATCAGCACCCTGGGGTGAAGACTGAAGGGCAGGTAGGGCCAGGTGGGGGGCCCCAGGCTCCCGACTCGGGCAGCCCCCCGGGGCCACACGGCCTGTTGGCCTCCAAGGCTCGCGTATGGACCTTGTTCCCTACTGATAGGTCTGCTGAGCGTAATATTTACAACCACACAAACTGGGGTAGTGTGTACTTCTACCTGTCGTTTTCGTAACTCGCCCGTAGGAATGTGATTTCAGATCTTGCCAGCCTCCTTTTTAGGGCCATGTGGCTCAAAAACTCTTCTCTCGACCTTTTTCTTAAAAACTATATTTTTTAAATGTTTGTTTATTTTTTGAGACACACACACACACACACAGACACACACACACAAAGCGTGAGCAGGGGAGGAGCAGAGAGAGGGAGACACAGAACCTGAAGCAGACTCCAGGCTCCAAGCTGTCAGCACAGAGCCCGACATGGGGCTCAGACTCTTGAACCACGAGATCATGACCTGAACCGAAGTCAGATGCTTAACGCACTGAGCCACCCAGGCGCCCCTCCCTTAACCTTTAATTGTTACCATTTGAAATGCACAAAAGTAGAAGGAAAAATGAATCCCCGGTACCCGTCACTCAGCATTGACATCTATCAGGAAATTTCGGTTCTATGTCACATGTTCCCTGTATTTTTTACAAAAAATGAATACTAACATTTAGTTGACTGGATGCCAAACAAGATTTTAATTTATTTGGCTTGGCTTTTTTTTTTTCCTGACTTGTATCTGTGTGTATGTGTAGAAGTTCAAAGTTCGCTGGACGGATTGAGATGTGGGCAAGAACAGAGGTGGTGTGAATTGATTCTGAGATTCTGGCCAAGGCACATTTTTAAAAAACGAAGTGATCACATCGGAAGAGTAAACCATTAGCTGGAAGAGCAGGGCGTCCCCACCCTGGGATGGCATTGATGGGCTCACAAGAAGACCTTCGGGGGCTTGCGCTGTGCCTCTCATCGAAATGAGGAGTCGGGCCATTTGCGCTGCCCTCTCTGGACCTCACTCCAGACACACAGGACCCTGGAGGCTCCTACCCAGGTGGTGCCCAGTCTGCTTCCAACATGCCCATGTCTTTTCCCCGGGTCTGTGACAGACCGCACAGTGCACGTGTCCACCCCAGACCCCAATGAAGGGAGTGTGGCAGGGGTGCATGGTATGGGTAGAAACAGACACATGCCAGCCTGGCTGGGGTGTCCTCAGGTGTGTACATGAGGCCGCTGGCAGTGTGGTACAAAGCCCCGGGGGCAGGAGTGGGGAGGGGGACGGTGTCAGCAGAAAGAGAAGGGGTCTCAGGCTCGTTCTGGAGCCACGTTCCGGACCTGATC